TAACTTTTAGGTTGGGGATATGGCTCAGTGTAGTTCTGTGTTCAATTTCTAGAACTGAAGGCTGCTTCCAGAGTCAAAAACTTTTTATTTTTACCTTCACTTCCCACCTAAATTGGGCATGTTCTGTGGCCAAGATACTATAGATATATATGAGTAGAGTAAATGCAGGGGCCAGGGAGATGGCTCAGTGGAATAAGCGCTTCCCTGGAAAGCTCAAGGGTCTGAGGTCAATCCCCAGTTCTGAAGAGAGAAAAGAGTAAAAGCAGGCAGTATCTACCATGTATACTTTGTTTTAGATTGTGTCTCACTATGTAGTCCAGGCTGACTTCAAACGTAACCTCCTACACCTCAGGTTCTTCAGTGCTGGGCATACCATCTATTAAATTACTACACTAAACAAGAAAATTTTTGCCAATTATTATTACAGCAAAACATTACCATATAGGTACAATTAGATAGTAATTTCTCCACTTATCAGAATAATGTGAGCTAAGTCTCTTTTTTCTAAAGTGTATTTGGTATGGATTCTCTCTATGCACTTGGACTTGCAGTGATCTTCCTGTTTTCAGCTACCCCAGGGTTGGGACCACAGAGTGTATCACCATGGCCAAGACTCCGTGGTGGACTCCTAGGTCCTTAGTTCGATATAGGTGCTGGGGACAGAGCCAGCACGGCACATGGTGCTGGGGATCTAAGCCATCCCCTATGCTTGCCTAAGCAAGTACTTAGTCCCCTGAGCTATTTCACCAGCCCTCTGAGCTTAGTCTCAAAAAATTCACAAAGTTTGTATTCATCTAGAATATTGGAAGACTTCAACCCAGGAAACAAATGAATTAACAGCTAACTTAATTCAGCTGCCTGTCTGTCTGTCTTGACACCAGTTTTAGAAATATACTTGGCTAGGCTGTTTATAATCCTTAACATGAGACATCTGGCCATTCTCTCTAGTTCCTCTGTTTTAGTTTAACCTGATTTAGTTTTATTTATTCTATAAGATTCCATCTAAAAAGGGTGAACCAACCAACCAACCAACCAATGAAAGAAACAAACGCCCCCCTCAACCAAAAACCTAACAACAAAAAGCCACCTGCACAGTTTTGTTAGAACTAAGAGTTAAGGTGGAGGGATTAGAAAGGGGAAGTACAAAGAATGAAGCATAATGTACATGCGCCAACTCCCCCCAACAAATTAACAATTTTCTTTTTCTTTTCTTTTTTTTGCGGAACCGGGGATTGAACTCAGATCCTTGACGTTTGCCAGTCAAGCGCTTATCCTACTGAGCCATCCCCCCGGCCCCAATAATTTTCTACTGGAAATATACTAATAAAAATTTAAAAACAAAATACAGAGTTAAGTGATGACAGATCCTAGTTACAGTGGCTAATGTACAGTAAGTAACTTTTTTTGGTATTGGGGATTGAACCCAGGGCCTTCACATTTGACTATATCCTTTTAAAAAAAGGATATTGCCCTCGTAAAAAATTTTAATTTTGAGACAAGGTCTTGCTAAGTTGCCAATTTGCCTTGTGTGGGACAGAACTTGTGATTGTCCTGTCTCAGGCACCTAGAGTGCTGGGAGTACAGGAATGTGTCACTATGCCCAGTTCAAATTAGAGTAATACTTAGCTATTTTACTCTTTCCCAAAACTGGAAAAGGTCTACCTGGAAAGGTCTTTTTTTTTTAAAACCTTTGTAACAAACAAACAAAAAAACCCCAACAAGCAGTATTCTCTATGTGATTATCAACCCAGAATATTTAACTGCTTCTCTCTTCTCTCTTTCCAATAGACCAAATTGCAGTTTTATTTTAAACTGTGGAGTTTCCATAAACATGCTGGAATCTCACCTGAATCTTGAGCACTCCAACTACCTGGGCTGCAGGTGGTGTGATGGTGAATTTCCACTCTGACCTCCAGCGACCATTCCTATTAAAACATACATAATGCTGCAGAATTAGCACTAGGCACAAAAATGAGTTCTGCCACTGAGGCAGAGAAATTGGAAAAGGGCAGGTGCAGGGGATATACAATCATTTATAAGCTGAAAAACCCAAGGCTCTGCCTACTCAAATGTAAGTTTGGGTCCAAGTGGGCTAACCATAAAGCCTTTTTTACATAACTTGGACTTCTTCCACTTAGCTTTTGGTCCTCATGGAGCAGAAACATGCCCTCTGTGTTCAATGGGAGCTCATCTAGAGACTCAGTAGATGCGTAGGCTATTGAGTTATGTTACTGACTCATGGATCACTAACTTAAGTAAAACTCAAAAATTTGAACCAGGTGTATCACTAATCAATTGTTCTCAATAAAAGTTTTTTTTATTTTTATTTTTTTGGCCGCTCAGGATGCCTTCAGGGCAGGTCTGGTTTGGCTTGAGGATGAGGGGATCGAACCACAGCATCCTGAGCTTGACTGCTTTGTTTCAGCAGGCACTTAAACACCTGAGCTAATGGGCAGGCCCCCAAAAGTTTGTTTTTTTTTTTTGTAGTACCAGGGATTGAACTCAGGACCTTCTGCTTGCCAGGCAAGCACTTATTCCACTGAGCTATCTCCCCTGCCCCCCAAAAGATTTTTTTTAAAGATATATTTATAAAATTTTATAATTAGAAACAGTATAAACAATATCTAAATTTCTGACTTTAGAGATGGAAAACTGAAGTCTGTAAGTTAAATAATTTACCCCAACATAGATTAAAAATCAAGCCTCAACTACTAGTTTCTTTCTGATACAAATAGAAGAGAATATCTGTTTCTTACCAAAAATTTTTAGGCTGGAACTGGTGGCTTTCGATACATGCAATAATAGTCTGTTGTCCATCTATAATTTTAGCATATACCTATTATTGGGAAAAAATAATTACAGTTGTAAAACATTTAATCTAAATGACATACACTGTACAAAAAGCAGTGTGCTAAATGACATACATTGTACAAAAAGCAGTATGCTAAATCTGAGACAAAGAAAAACACTTGGACAAAGTAAGTGTATGACAATATTATTTTCTTTGGATATGAACACAAAAGAGAACGTGTAATGTTCTGGTACACAATTATACAATGAATACAGAAGGAAATACTACCCCTGGGTTAGAGTACCAGCAAGGTGCTGCTTAGGTTGGGCTCTAGAAAGCAGATGCAATTATAGTAAGCAGAGAATGAAAAAGATGAGAAAATAGTTCAGGCAGGAAGCCACAAACTTGTTAGATGGACAGAAATTAGTTCCATTACGTTAGAGGGTATGTATATGTCACAGAATAGTGGGAGATAAAAAATGGGACAGCAGATTCAGGTCATGAGCTAACAGACATTAGGTAATGGATAAACAGCAGAATAACATCATCTAAACTATTATTTTGGAAGAATCATCAATACAGATGTACAGCATAACATAAAGTGGGAGCTTGGGAATAGAAAAGAGAGGCCATGTACAAAATGTAGACGTACAATCAAATTCTAGCAATATACTACAAATGAAAGGAAGAAAGAAGGAACCAAATTACTAGTACACTTGCACGACTGGGAAAGACAGTGATGTCATTAACAAATTGAGAAATCTAGATATCAAGCTAGACACAAATACCAACTTTTCTTTAGGATGGGAGCGATGAATAAAAATGTAATTGCCAAGGAAAAGCAAACAGTGGTTTATAGTCCACAAAGTAATTTTTTTTTTTTTTTTTTTTT